ATTGGCGCTGCGCTTTTTTTCTTGGCGGGAACTAGTTATGATAGACTACGTCTTCTTTATCTCGACGAAATGGGCGGAATGGCTATCCCAATGCCAAAAATATTCACCATTTTCACTATTTTATCGATGGCTTCTCTTGCATTGCCGGGCATGAGCGGTTTTTGTTGCAGAATTGATAGTTTTTTTTTGGAATAATTACCAGCCAAAAATATCTTTTAATTACAAAAATACTAATCACTTTTGTAACAGCAATTGGAATGATATTAACTCCCATTTATTTATTATCTATCTTACGGCAGATGTTCTATGGATACAAGCTTTTTAATACACCAAACTCTTATTTTTTGATTCTGGGCCACGAGAATTATTTATTTCAATTTCGATCCTTATACCCGTACTATGTATTGGTATTTATCCGGATTTCATTTTCTCATTCTCGGCTAACAAAGTTGAAGCTATTCTATCCAATTTTTTATAGATAGTTTTCGTGAATATGAATAAATGAAAAAAAAAAAAGAAAAAATAGTAAAAAATCTTATGTACAATAAACAAAATATTTTTTTCTTGTATTAACTTACAAAAAAATGAATTTAAGTTGTAATTGAATATGCTTGTTGTTTGTGAGAACCCCTTGAATCACTACTACATTACTTGATTTAAAGGGTTCTCGATGATTTATGGGAAGTTTGCTTCATATATATATATTCTTTCTTATATATAATATAATGAATGGTTTCCATATTTATATTTGTGAAGTTTTTTTTCACTCACTTTAATTCAATTAGATGTAAATGAACCATAACTATGTAGTCCTATTCCTAATAGATTTATTCCTAAATAACATACCCAAATTATAAAAAAGCCCATAGAGGCCACTATTGAAGAATTTAAATTTTCTACTTTTTTCTTTTTTCTAGTATGTAAATAAATTGCGAATATAGTCCAAGTAATAAAAGCCCAAGTTTCCTTTGGATCCCAATTCCAATATGACCCCCATGTCTCATTAGCCCATACTGCTCCTGAAATAATACCTATTGTTAAAAGGATAAAACCTAGACTAATAATACGGTAACCCCAACGATCTAATTGTTGAATAAATTGAGACCTGTAATAATTTCTAGAAGAAGAAAAAGAAGTTTTTTGTAAAACATTATTTCTTTCATTCATATTCATGTATTTGATTTCAGCAAACGAAAATGATTCATTTAAAAAATACAAATTATTGCTTTTACCAATAATTTGTATGAGTTCTCGAAATGAAATGACTAAAATAGCTACTGATAATAATGATCCACATAAAAGAGTTGCATAACCCAATATCATCATACTTACATGCATAATTAACCAATGGGATTGTAGAGCAGGTACTAATAGTACGGATTTTTGCATTTCGGTTAAAAGACCTGAAGTAGCAAAGCCTTGGGTAAAAATAACACTTGGTGCGATTATTGTATTTAAATAGTTGTTTTTATGCTTTTTGAAGCATGGAACCATATAAAAAATGGAAAAATTCCATGAAAGAAAGATTAATGATTCATATAAATCACTAAATGGTAAATGGCCCGAAAAAACCCAACGAGTAACTAACAATCCTGTTATACAGAAAAAAGTTATTATCATGCCTTTTTTGGACGAATCATATAATCCTAGGATTTCATTGACCGATAAAGTTATCAAATGAATTGAAATTACAATTGATACAACCGAAAACGATATATGAATTAATATATGCTCTAAAGTTGAAAATATCATATAGAATAAATAAAAATCAGAATACTAGGAATAGAAATAGGAATTGAGTTCATTATAGGACTTATTCTTTTGGAGGATAAGATATCATGCCGCTACTCGGACTTGAACCGAGATGCTCTAGCACTGCTTCCTAAGAGCAGCGTGTCTACCAATTTCACCATAGCGGCTTACTCGAAATCATAATAACCAATTTTTAGTCAATTGTCAAGATTCAAATAAAGAATCAATTAAAGTGTAATATTTGTTTACTAAACATTAACGAATTAAAAGAAGTCTATTAGAGAATCTATTAGAATTTTCGAAATTCTATATCTATATATATATTATTATTCTATATTCTTATTCTAAATATATTACATTTTTTCTTATTCTAAATATATTACATTTTAGAAAATTTTAGAAAGGAATAGAAAAATAAAATTAAGAATATAGAATAAATAAAAAAATGGTGAAATTTTTCATCAAAAATGGAACACTACATTCAAAGTATTTTTTTATTTAGAATATCGTTATACATATCCTAAATTTGTAGAATACTAATTTAGATATGAAAAACGAATTTAGATATTCCAATTATATTAGTATTTTAATATTCAAAAATGTTATTTGAATAAAGTTAATTCAGATTATTCTGACGTTTGTATTTGTTACAAAAAAAACTTTTTGAATTCCCCGTAAAAATAGATTGTGCTAATGAAAAAGCTTTTAATGTTGTCCAATATCCCCTCTTTTTCCAAAAATTTTTTCGAATGATTTTTTTTGATATAGAAGTGCGCTTTTTTGGAACTGCCATCGAGTTAGTATAGTTTTTCATTGTTATAGTTCGATGTGAAAGACATTTTTTTCTGTAAATGAAAAGGAATTCTTCTTTAATTACCCATATATCTTATGTATCTTAATGCTCCCTTTTTGCTTCCTATCTCTAAAGTAAAACATTGAATATTATAACTCTTTTTCCAGACATGAATATCTTTTTAATGTAATGGAAAATACTCAATTAGTTCAAAAATGAACTAATGCTTAAAAAAAAAAGAATTATTGAGTAATGTCGTAGGAATTGTAATTTTTTAATGAATATCAAAATAAACGAATCTTCGTAGTTTTAGTGTAATTCATTATTTATCCTCACTCTATACTTTTGTATAATTGTAAAAAAAAAAATAGAAATTCACATTTTTATTTTTACATATTTCCTTTTTATTATTTTATTAAAATTACATTCATTATTTATTATAGTAATAGTAATAAATATGAGAAAAAAAAAAGAAACTCTTTTTTTTTTTTTTACTAGGAATAGGAATTTGGTTATTGGTCCATTTTCAGTTTGTACTTAGTAATATTCGAATGGAACAAAGATTCAGAACAATTAATGTAATTCTATTTCTAGATTCACTTCTTTTATTAACCGACCCTTTTCTTTACAAAAGAGATGAAACAAAACTGACGAATAAGAAACAAAATTCATTAAGAATCCAATCCATTTGTTTTGTTTTTGTATGGAATATACACATCAATCTTCATGGATCATACCTTTCATTCCATTTCCAGTTCCTATGTTAATAGGAGTGGGATTTCTACTTTTTCCGACGGCAACAAAAAATCTTCGCCGTATATGGGCTTTTCCTAGTATTTTTTTATTAACTATAGTTATGATTTTTTCGATTGATCTGTCTATTTATCAAATCAATAAGGGTTCCATCTATCAATATGTATGGTCTTGGACCATAAATAATGATCTTTCTTTAGAGTTTGGATACTTGATCGATTCACTTACTTCTATTATGTCAATTTTAATTACTACTGTTGGCATTCTGGTTCTTATTTATAGTGATAATTATATGTCTCATGATCAAGGATATTTGAGATTTTTTGCTTATATTACTTTTTTTAATATTTCAATGTTGGGTTTAGTTACTAGCTCGAATTTGATACAAATTTATATTTTTTGGGAATTGGTTGGAATGTGTTCTTATTTATTAATAGGTTTTTGGTTCACACGTCCTATTGCAGCAAATGCTTGTCAAAAAGCATTTGTAACGAATCGTATAGGAGATTTTGGTTTATTATTAGGAATTTTAGGTTTTTATTGGATAACGGGTAGTTTAGAATTTCGGGATTTGTTTCAAATAGTCAGTAATTTGATTTATAAAAATGAAGTTAATATTTTTTTTCTTACTTTATCCGCCCTCTTGTTATTTTGTGGCTCAGTTGCTAAATCTGCCCAATTTCCCCTTCATGTATGGTTACCAGATGCTATGGAAGGACCTACTCCCATTTCCGCTCTTATACATGCTGCTACTATGGTAGCGGCGGGAATTTTTCTTGTAGCTCGACTTCTTCCTCTTTTCATAGTTCTACCTTACATAATGAATGGAATAGCTTTTATAGGTATAATAACAGTAGTCTTAGGAGCTACTTTAGCTATTGCTCAAAAAGATATTAAGAAAGATTTGGCCTATTCCACAATGTCTCAATTGGGTTATATGATATTAGCTCTAGGTATGGGATCTTATCGAGCCGCTTTATTTCATTTGATTACTCATGCTTATTCAAAAGCATTGTTATTTTTAGGATCTGGATCCATTATTCATTCAATGGAAGCTATTGTTGGATATTCTCCAGCTAAAAGTCAAAATATGGTTCTTATGGGTGGTTTAACAAAACATGTGCCAATTACAAAAACTGCTTTTTTAATAGGTACACTTTCTCTTTGTGGTATTCCACCTTTTGCCTGTTTTTGGTCCAAAGATGAGATTCTTAATGATAGTTGGTTGTATTCACCAATTTTCGCAATAATAGCTTGTTCCACAGCAGGATTAACTGCATTTTATATGTTTCGGATCTATTTACTTGTTTTTGAAGGATATTTAAACATTCATTTTCTAAATTTCAATGGAAAAAAAAATAATTCATTCTATTCAATATCTTTATGGGGTAAAGAAGAAAAAATAAAAAACAAAATTTATTTATTAGCTTTATTAAGAATGAAAAAGAATGAAATGACTTCTTTTTTTCTGAAGAAGACATATTCACATCGAATTCATCGAAATGTCAAAAGCATAACACGTCTTTTTTTTGATAGTACCCATTTTTTTGGTACTAAAAAAACTGCTTGTTTATATCCTCACGAATCGGACAATACTATGCAATTTTCTATGCTTGTTTTAGTATTGTTTACTTTTTTTGTTGGGGCCATAGGAATTTCTTTCAGCCAAAAAGGAATAGATTGCGATATATTATCAAGATTA